ATAATTAAGGTTTCTGTTGGTGATCCATAAGTGGGAAACATCACAATAAATAACCGTAATTCACCTCTAGTTTATTCATTATATTTCTTCACTTTCAGTCCTGGATCTCAAGGAAAATTTTTATTCAGATATTATTATCACTGGCAGTTGGCATTATTGATATCCATTAAGTGTTGGATTTTTTCAGTTGTCATCAATATTCATGAAATTTATAAAATTTTCCAACCTCTTATTCTAGGTACGGTCTATGGTTACTAGGATGTTCACATGATTCAGGCAGATGTCACGCTACGATGTTCTTCGGTCTTTTATTTCATTTTCAGACTATCCTTGAGGAGTTTGACACTCAAGTTGGACTTAGAATCTTCTATAATGTTGTGAGTTTTTTTTGGTTTTGTTCTATAAATTTCACTCTGGATAGTTATATAGTTTTAATTGTTCCTTAACATTTTTACCTCTACATAATTTGCGAATAAATAAATAAGTAACTAAATAAATAATTAGATAAAGAATTGATGTAGTTCGTCTTAAGTAGAAGTTTTCAATAATGGAAAGGAAAAATTATAAATGAATACAATTTTTAATGTGAAAATTAATTAATATTCAAGCACCTGCGACTTGTTTACATCAAATTGAGTGCAATACTAATTTAAGTAATGTTTTCTATAATTCGAATTCCAGTTCTAGACCTAAGTAATAATAATTCTAAACTAACTAACTAACCAACCAACCACTGCAATGGAAACCGGACGTTTTTCAAAAATGAAGTTTCTTCGTTAAGAGAATGCTTAAGAAAGTGAAATTCCTTTGAGTTTTAAGGGGAACACCCACAAAAAAAGTCACCCTCCTACTTGTTTATGGCAAATTTAGTCTTGATGTAATTTCTTATTTTTGTAGATGAGTATGTTACAACTCTTATCAAAAGAAGGTGATACAGTCAACGAGGATGAAGAATCATCATCGAGGCAAATTGTATGTCATGTGTGCGTCGCTCTGAAACGTTACTTAGAGGCCCCTCCCTTTTTTTAAGGCGCACAAACTCCAACTAGGTGAAACAGGACTGCCAAGTGATAAGGTAGGCATTTTTTAACGAATTAGCAGGCTAAATTTGTGTGGACTGGTCATGATGCAACATATAAAGAAGTAAAAAACGGTGAAGGCAGACAGTATTTGAAGAAACAAATTTTCCTCTCTTTTTCTCTCGAGCGGATAATTTTTCATAGTTTCATCCACTCAAAGTTGTTTCATGTTTCTGTTCAATTTATTCCTAATCTAAACCAACCATATCTAATCCATCTATATTTTTTAACTTTTTCCAGCCAGGTTTTGAGAGTCACGGTTGAGGTGAGTTCAGCGTGGCAAAGAAATCAGGCCTGTCGACAGAACGCCACTGGTTTCGCTCTTATCAGAGCCTATCATCAGCGAAACCAGTGGCGTTCCGTTGAAAGGCCTGATTTCTCTTCCCTCACTGAAC